TTTGAAGCAAGGTACAATTCCCCTATGATGAATGCTATCACTATGTATATATAAAATGTACCAATAAAAAAATTCAAGATAAAATAAAAATCTAACTATAAACCTGAAAAAAAAAAAGAAGGATGCAGTCATCGATTTTTGCCACTCAGTTAGTTCCCATGGGCTCTGTACATTGTCATCAAACAGATCACAATTAGTGGTGCTCTTGGAAGATAATAAAGCAGCCTAACTTGGGACAAGTGGTAAATGAGGAGATGGCCTTCCACGCAGTAAGATTCAGCATGCATATGGAGGCCAACAAACACTAGATCAGGAAGCTACTATTTCCTCTTCTGTTTAAAATGCAAGGGACATTAGACAAATTAATGGTGAAAAACTTGTTGGGGGCCAGTTAATTTGCTTATTGAAAGACATTTTGGAAGAGCATTTTTGATGACTATGTTTGCTAAGACTGGCAATTACAAAACACACTCAAGCCTGACCTAAATCTAGCTTGGAAATTCTTGGGCTTCTTCTTAACAAATATTTATTCTTTGGATCTAAACGGGAGGACAATTTTGCTAACATAAAGGACAGGAATTTGGCAAAGCAGAGTGTTGATGCTGGAGTGTGAAAGCTGAGAGCTGTTTGTTATCCCTTTTCCTGACTTTGAGTCCCAGAGCATTCCAGGCCCTTTCAAAGTGTGCAGGGAGAATGTGGCTTCTGGGTTGCGTTAGCTGACACCACGTCTCCTCCGATAGACAACCAAGGGCAGGCAGGAAGCACAGCGCTGACTCCTCGCCCTTCAAACAGGGGTCCAAAGCTGGCGCACCCCAGAAAAGGCCCTTATCTTTCCTGGGTGCCCATTACATCAGTTTGTTTCATCTCGGCAGCACTTACGTCATTTCCTTTGGCAAGTGAGCCAGGAGCCTCGATTCTCGAAGCATGCCAATTGTAGAGCGCCAGTGATGATTCTCCAGCACAGACATATTCTAGAAAGAAAGAAAGAAAGAAAAACAAAAGCTATAAATGAGGGAGAAGCCAGATAGGGATCTTTTACTGTGACTGCAGTTCCACGGAGGCCAACGTTTTCCCTCCTGATGGCTTGTATCCTGATGACACAGAGGTAGACCAGAAAAGAAACACAAAGTAGAACCATCACGAGGGCTATCCCTAAGGCTATCATGAGGGTGGCAGAGGGACAGGCCTAGCAGATCCTTTACCTCAGGGCCAAATGAGGCTCTGTGAATAGCATCCTTCTTACTGCCTCTGCCTCTGAGCTCAGTAGCTTGGTCAGGCAGCACTAACCATGGGGGAGAAAGTGAAGCCATTAAAACAAGTAGCAATGGATCCCACAGTCTCATAGCCATAACATAATCCACTGCTACCCTGCCAAACTGAATGGAGGCCAGCTCACAACTCCCGAGTCCTGGTCAACACTGTTTTGGTTCACTTGGCTTGTGCTGATCAATTCTCATGTACAATAAAGTTTGAAAACTGATGTCATAGAAGCAGCTCTGTCAATAGCCTTCAGCACCAGAATATTGATATTTAGTCCATTAGGTCTATGGGTTAAAATCTGCAATTGTTAAATTGATAATTGTTCGATTATCTTGATATTTCTTGTCTACTATTTTCACACTCTTCTTTAACTTATTGTTAATTAATTTTATTTATTTATTATTTATTGTGGTATGGGGGATTGAACTCAGGACCCTGAGATTGCCAGGCAGGTACTTATTCTACTGAGTATCTCCCCGGCTTATCGTTACTTTAACTGCGTTTGTCGTGTGAACGTTTAACTAGCCATATAAATAACAGTTTTATAATCCATTGTGTTTTGTTCTAATTAGCAAAAATTATATCCTTATCAGTGACTTCATAAGACAAGAACCTTTGTTAACCTTAGGCAGTCTTTTTGCTTTATTTTCTTGATTTTTTGTTCATTATTCCTCTCATTCTAGGAGAGGATGTAAATTTACAACAGCATCAACAACAATAAAAAATAAAATAGCATTGATTAAAAGTGAGGAAAACTGTACAATTCTATTTATATAAGGTATCTAAGAGCACTCATAATCCTACAGACAAGAAGTAGAATGGTGGTTGCCAGAGGCTAAAGGGACAAAGGAACAAAGTTATTGTTTCACAGGTATTTCTGTTTTGCAAGATGCAAAAGCTTTACAGATGTATGGGGAAGATGGCTGTGTGACATTACAAATGTGCTTACTATCATTGAATTACTTCAAAATAGTTAAGGTGATAGATTAAAGGTCATCTCTATTTTACTGCATTTAAAAAAAGCAAAAAGAAATAAGCAAAAAAGGGGCCAGGGAGATGGCTCAGGGGAATAAGTACTTCCCTGGCAAGTGCAAGGACCTGAGTTCACTCCCTGGTTCTGAAAAAAGAAAAAAAGGAACCAGGAGTGTGACTACAAACTGTCCCCTCATGATGCCTTTCCCACACCACCTATGTACCCCTTTGCTTTTCAGCAAGTGGAAAAAGAGGACCCCTGCGAATGACACACTCCAGGGTCCATTAGGAAAATACAAGCTAAAGCAAACTGGAGCCGTTCCTGGTTCTAAAGTCAGATAAGGATTTCTCCCCCAGACTTTGTTTTAACGAGCTGCACGAAGCTGAGCCTTCCACCTATCTTTGTCCAGCCTGTTATATTGCTGTTTATTTCTCTCCTTGCCAAGGAGCTATTATTCTTTATTCACTACTTGACCACATTTGAATCAGTGATGAGATTTTATTACTCTTATCCACTGGTCTGCTATCTCCTTTTGGGCCTGAGCCATCCATGACAAAAGAGAATGTTTGTTAGACATAACATGCTAGACTAATTTGTTTTGATTGTGAAGATTTATGAGTGTGGAGAGTGATAGGTTACTGTGATGTAACAGATGTTCAATCCTACAGTGACATTTAATTCAATCACCTTTTAGTTCACTTGCAGAAGTAATTTAAGCAGATGTGGACATGTATGCCCTCATGTGAAGTTTTTAAGGGACCAGAAAACTAAGAGGACCTGATAATAAATGACACAATATCCCTGTTGAGTAGAACAGAAGTGTGTAGAGGATGGCCTTAAGCGTTGTTATTGATGCCAGTCTGACTTAGTGTCTTCATTAATAATCTTCCTGAAGACAGACTACAAGGATATTTGAGAGACTTGCTGATGAAACCCTATTTGGTGAACATCAGGAAATGGAAGGAAATTGAATGGGCTTGGAAGTTGGTACTGAAGAAAGGACAGTAGAGGATATGATTGTGAACACACCATTTTGTGGAAGTCTTTATACAAAAACAGTGTCTTAGCCAGAACTGTGTTGGAAGCAGGCCCACTTGAATGGCTTCCAGAGAGAAAGGAAAGAAGAGCAGTGCAAGGAGGAAAGAATCAAGGTGGGATTTGAATCCAGGGCCTCGCAGTGTTGGACACACATTCTGCTACTGAGCTACATGCCCCACCCTGGAACTTACATTTTCATTCCCTCTCCCCCCAAAGAATTTTGTTTTAGTGTAATACATATCTTTACATGTGAAAATCTTTTACCTTATCATATTTCTCTGCAACAAAAATATTTAAATTTGAAAATTTTAAATTAAAAGATCTTTCTAACATTAGGCTCTAAGAATTTAAGCTTGAGTTTATTGTGCAATTGTTACCAGTAACTACATAATCAAAACCTATTTGTATTGAAAACTGTTTTTGTGTGTGGCTGGCTCAGCCCACCCTGGGGGGCAGGGCTGGCATGGCATGTGGTGGTAGGGATTCAACTGTGGTCCCTGTGCACTTGCCTGAGCTTGCCTAAGCAGGCGCTTTAGACCATGAGCTATCTCACTGGTCTCTGTATTGAAAACTTGGAAAAACACTTATGCTTGACAGTAAGAATGTATTGGTGACACATCAGTTTTTGAGATGGAGGAGGAGGGAGTTATGGCACCTCCGGTATAGGAGACTTCTTTTGACATTTCCCTTGGTTCCTTTGGTGTTTTTATGCCCAGGGTAATATGCAGTGTGACTCAGAATGGGTAAGAGCTACACCTCTGTTCTGCAGGGTGGTTGCAAAAACGTAAGTGAAAAACTAGAACTGGTTTGACTGCTCTGCAAGCCATTCCAGGCAGGTCAGTTTAAGGACCTGAAAATGGATTCTGTTAACACTACTCATGCTTGTGTACCTCTTGGAAAGCCTTCAGTGTCCCTACGATATACATATTCTGTTTGAAAACTGCTGCCACCCATGACTGCTTTGGAGAACAGTGAGCATATCTTACTCATCTTTGTCCCACAGTATGTGGCCCAGTGCCTCCTAAGTAAGTAAATATTTCTTGAGTGGATCCTGAGCAATTAATCTACCAACACTCAACACCAGTAGCTGCAAAAGTTCAAAGAACCTTCGAAAGAAAGAGTCTGATTTGAATTTTTGATTAAGATTTGATAGAATCCAGCCTTGGGGTCTTAGGGTGTGAAATCCTTAGACACATGCCACAGAAAATGTTAAATTACTATGGCAATAGGCTCTTCTAATTACTCATGCACAGATAATCACGATCAGGTGAGAGACTCACAACATAGCATATACCAGGTGGTATTTGTCAGTCACAAGATGTGAATGAAAAGATCATGAGACGATCATGTCTGCTCAAACTGCCTGGTGTCTCTTGAGTGCTGCCTTCATCACAACATAACAATCAACAGAAGTAGCTACTGAGCCCTGGACCTGCGCTGTGTACTGAGCAACCACATGAATGAATAGGTGTGGAGACTTACTGGCCATCTGGAAGATCGGTCTCTAATTAAGCGATGGCAACTGATGAATATAGGATAAAGGAAGCAATAGAAGGCTGAAACCATGTAGGAAGGATGTGGAAGATGCATTTCAGGGGAAAAGAAAGTTTTCAAGAGAAAGACATGGCCACATTGAGAATAAAGGGATGAGTGAGTTAAAGAGAGCTCAGTATAGGCATTATGTTCTAGTACAGATTTGATTTGAACAAAATATACTATGTAATAATATATTTGATTAAAATAAGCAGAAGAACATGTGACAAGGTCTGTAGGCAAGAGGGATGCTATGTATTTCTTCTTGATTTTATTGTTACTTTTCAATCATTAGAAATTATCCCTTTCTAATATATACATATTTTATTAATTTTGTGTCCTCTAGGATAATTTAGGAATTTTACTTATTTTGTTCATATTCTGTATTCCTAATACCTGGCATGTTAAATATGTTTTAAGTACTCCATAAATATTTGTTGAATGACTGCAACATTGGGACACAGGAAGCAGTTCTGACTTGATGATGTTCGGGAGCCTTGTAGGGAAGTGGAGAGGAAGGCCTGGAGGAATAACAGGGGCCAGGTAACCTGGGGCTAGTACGCTGCATCTGGCCTTTTGTGCATAAAACCAAGGAGCACTGGGATTTTGAGCAGGAATTCATGTGGTCACATGTGGGTGTCAGAAGACTCCTGGCTGCAAAGTGGGAGCAAGGAGTGAATCCAGCTAAGGCTGTGAGTGCATGTGGACGTGATGGGAAGGGAAAACGGGGTCCCCCAAACTAGGGAGTGGTGAGGGCTAGGGCACAGGCCTGAATGTCCTGGTGCTCCCTGGTGAACTGCTGAAGATGCTAAGGCCATCCCTAACATGGAGGAGCTCTGCTGTGACAGACTCAGCTGGCTGTCACAACTCTGACCTTTGTCAGCAAAAGGTAGACAAAGAAAAGGAAGAAAATAGAAATGGCCACAGAGTTGAACATATGGGGAAATGATTTCACTGTAATAGCCCCTGAAGTCCCGGATGGTCTTGGAGTACACATTAGCTACCACATCTACCTGCCTTGAAGACGCTTTAGCTCAGCAATTTCACATTCTCCTGCCTCGGACTGCACCTTGTGGATTTAAGAATAACTTCTATCTTTTTTTTTTTTTTTTTTTTTTTTGCAGTACTGTGGATCAAACTTGGGACCTTGCACTTGCCCAGCAGGCA